TGATCTCTGTAAATGGACATCGTAAAAGTCTCAAGAATCTTAATGCTTAAATGTTGTATTTATTAGTCAACAAAGAAACAATTTGTTCGAAGAACAGTTATTGTGTTTTGTCTAATTTGAATATCCCTATAAAGTAGTAGTAGTATTAAGTTTATTAATTTCGGCCTTTCGGCCCAGAAATGGGACTTGGTTTTACATTCTCTATACTCATGCATTCATCCACCTTGCCACATTACATTCGTCACACCGCGCGCTTACCCACTCTGTCTTTGCTTCTCTCCTCTGTACGTATGTTACTAATTGTAGTTTGTACTTTTATCCTTCCCGTTTACTAACTTCCATACCCAATCTACATTTCTTACATTAAACCTACCCTCTAAAAGCTCTTCTATGCTTATATTAGCATTTTCCCGCTTGTCGCAATCTGCTAAATAGTGCTTCAGAGAACCTTGTCCCCTTCCACAAAACCCGCACCTTCTCCCCTCACGCGCAAGCCAATATCTATTCCAAAATTCTAAATTTCCGCACCTCGCCTTTGCCATCAAACTTTGGCTGTTTAGTTTTCCATCTTTCCTTAGATACTCTGGTCTCTGTCCCGTAAATAAATATCTATACCTACTGTTATATTTAGTCTCTTTTATTTGGTTAAATTGCACTTGTTCCTGATTTTCCCTATCCCTATTCATCAGTTCCAGAGTTACTCTATCACTCTCCCCTCTCAAACTCATAATCCCTTCCTGACTATATCCGTTTCGTATGCCATACTCTATCCTTTCTTTACCATTTTTTGTCCTTCCCTGTTCCTTTTCCCTAAGACATTCTTTCACTAAATTCTTTCCTACTGCCTTTCTAATTTCCTCTTCAAACTTTCAGAGCTTTCTTTCCTGCTTCTATTCTAATCTTTTCTCTTCTTGTTTCTGCTAATAATATATATCTTGGTGTTTCTCTGCTTAAACCTAGAATCCATCTCACAAATTTATATTGCACTCTTCCCAACTCCGCCCTTTCTTTCCACCCATATAGTTCCGCCCCATACAACATCACGCTCTTGACTAGACGATCAAACATAAATAC